AAGAGATACACTAATTTTGTGATTGGAAGACTTAGAAGTATTATATTTTACAGCTCAAATTTCTCTATGTATCAGTGTAATCCAAATCCAATTCCCAGTATACTTTTTTTATTGGTATCAAAAAAGATTCTAATATTTATATCAGAAAAAATGCTAAAGGGTTCCTACTGTGTGATTTTGAGACTTACTATTAAAGCTACAGTAGCCAGGACAGTGTGGTATTATCAAACGAACAGGCATAAAGATCCATAGAATAGAAGGGAAAGTTCATATATAACCCAACTGGTATGAACAACTGATGTTTGAGAAAGGTGAAATGGTAATTTAATGGTGAAAGGACTGTCTTTTCAACAAATATGCTGGAATGGTTGGATATCCATGTATAATAAATCAAACCTCCACCGATACCTCATGATTTATGCAAAAATTAACTTAAAATATATCATAGACTTAAAATTAAAACCTAAAACTTTTAAGAGTGAGTAAACATAGGAAAAAATATTTCTGGCCATGTTGTAAGCAAAATATTCTTAGATGTGACACAAAAATCGTGACCCATCCCCCCAAAACTGATAATTAGAAATTTGTCAATAAATTAATATTTATTATTATCAAAACAAACAAATCAGTAAATATCAAGAAATTAAGTAACACAATAGCAATGGCAAAACTGACAACAGAAATATGAGTGAAGATGCAGAGCAACTCAAACTTTCGTACATTGTTAGAGGGAATGCCAAATAGTACAACCTCTTTAGGGAGAAGTTCAGTAGTTTCTTATAATGTTAAACATATACTGACTATATGACTCAGTATTTTGACTGTGTACATACACCCTAGAGAAATGACAAGCTGCAAGTGAATATTTATAATGATTTTATTCTTAGTTGCCCAAAACTGGATACAACCCACTCTTACTTCAACTGGTGAAACAATAAACACTCTATGGTACATTCATGTAATAAAACATTACTCAACAATAGAAAGAATGAACTAGTGTTACCCATGACGTACACAAACCACAAATACGTTATAAGTGACATTATACTAGATTGAAGGGACTACAAACCATATGAGCCAATTTTTATGCCATTCTAGAAAAAGGCGGAACTCTAAGAATGAAGAACAGCTCTATGGTTGCTAGGAGTGAAGAATGGGGGGACTGATCAACTTCAAAGAAGCCACACAAGGAAATGTCTGGAGCTGATGGTGCTGGTCTGTATTTTTATTATGGTTGTGATTACATAACACTATGCACTTTTCAAAATTTATAAAACTACACAAAATTGGTGAATTTCACATTAGACACATTTTTTAAATTGCATCTTCTTAACAGCAGGAGCTGCTTTTTCATCGGTTTTCTAGCTCTATCTTCTTTTGCATTTATTCATTGAAAAAGCAATTATTAGTGGCTACAAGTGGCCAAACATTGGAATTAGAGATAAAGATTTAAAAAAAGAATGAAAATATGTTTGCTATCATGAAGCTTACTTTCTACTAGGAGGAAATAGGTTTTATTAAGCAAAATGTATAATGTCTTCTGATGATACGGGTTAAGAAGAAAAATAATGTCAGGGAAGGGATTAACACAGTGGTTATATTATTACAAAAGATGGTCATGGAGGATGTCACTGGCCAGAGAAAAAACCTCACTGAGAACATAATATTTTAATTAATCTTGAATCATCATATACTCTGTATCAGTTGCTTCTTTAGGCAACTGAGATACAGGAGAAAAAATGTAAGTGCATATATATATAGATAAAATCCATGATAATAATGTAGAAGAATTCAAGAAAGGGTAGAGGATTCAATATCTAAAGTTTAATTTTAATACTTCCATTACTTTTTTAGAAATCAGGCTAAAAATCGCTTTGAAATTCATAGCCATATTTTGCGCTAAATTGCTCTGAAAAGTCTCAGATGGTCACATTTCCTGTTATTAGGAAGCAGTGGTGTAGAAAGAAACAAGGTGTTTCAATAAAATATATGGACACTTTGACTGCTAATATGACATTTACAAGACTAGAAAACAGTGTGATATTTTATATTGCTGCATGATAATCCTGGCAATTGACATTAATAATATCAGGCAGTCCTACCAAATCCCTATGAATAAGAAAAAGCATAAATTCAAAATTCAAAATAACAATCAAGTCTTATTTTGAAGCAGCGAGTCTTTTTTAATGTGGTACTAAAAAAAATCTGTAAATATCAAGGTTCAAAGGCACTAGAAGCATGAATCTCAACCCAACAACCAATATAAAAACATGAATTAATCGTTAATATTTTAAGTGAAGTCAGTTTGAAGTTGTCAATTTTAAGCGATTATTTTTGCTATAGATACTTGATGCTACTTTATAATAGCATATCGTAATAATTTCTGTTATAAATAAAGTATGATAATGAATGTCACTAAATGTATTAAACATTCATACATCCTATTGACAAGTTAAAAATGGTCTTTGCATTTGAGTTTCAAAGTATTAAATTTTTTTGTTGAATATTGTAGTATAAGGGTAACCTGGGAAGGATAATTCCCTATAGAATATTTGTATTTGTTATTTATAATCTTTTAAACAATAAATTCATTAAGTATATATATATATATATATATATATATATATATATATGCTTTTAAGATTAAAGTATAAAATTAAATTTACCCTCTTCACAAAAAAAAAAAAACAAAGGTTTCTCTTTACAGAAAGTGGGTACCACACTGGGTCCTATATCTTAATAGTTGAGTAAAAGGCGCTTTACTGTTTAACTGCCTTGAGGATGCTTCTGGCTTTATCATATCTATTCTGTCTGAACGTTGCCTCATTTTAATTTTCATTTTTTCTACTGAGATTTAATTTAATCTTTTATTACTAGTGCCTATATGTGCGTGAATAGAGGCCCATAAACTTCTGGCTCTTATAATTCAGATATATATATCTCCCTTACTTCGTTCAATTTTAGAAGATCATATTTATTTCCCTGAATCATGTATCAACTGGAATATTAAGTTATTTAAAAGGGCAAAGTAATCATACAGATCCCATTTTCATCCACTGTTTTTTTGATCACATAACCCTCTCTTCTTTCAATGTCCATAGCTTTATTTCCTACACATTTGAGTCATAACATATATGTGCACTATTAATCTCGGTGTGTCAATATGTTAAATTCCCAATTATTATTTAAGAACGGAAGCAATGTCTGATGTTTTCTTACACATTACCCCCAAAATGGGCTAATCAATGTATTTAAAATAGACATGGCAGCATAATGAACATATCCATATGGCACAGATTTCATTTGCCTTAATTCAATAATCATTTATTGAGCACAAATTCTCTTATTCATGTTTGTATTTATAAATGTTATCTTTATTCATTTGCAGGGATATTATAACCAATTAACAAAAAGAAACATTTAAGACAACACATTCCTCTATGTTTACATCAGGATACATTTTTGTAATTGAGTATGTATACTAATTATACTGTAACAAACAATAAGTATACAAAAAATAATTTAACAATTTGTGTTTTTATATTCCATTACTGTAAACTCACATTTTTCAGAGGTATATAAAGTTTATGTTATGAATATACAGCAGTCACATTATCCCTACCTATGTCTCACATCATTTTAATGCCATTTTCTTTATTACAGTCTACACTCACTTATTATTGAGGCCATTACTCTGCTTCTGCTTAATAAAGGTCTTGCTCTTACTAATGTTTGTGATATCCTTCATTGAGAGAATTAATTTTCAAACACACACAAATGCACACTTGAAGATTCTATACTAGTATCGGCACTTGAATCCTTTAACAAACTTGAATCCTTTACCAAAAGTATTGTACAGTAATGTCAGAAATCTTTTGAATGATGATATGATTTTTACTATGCTAATGGAAAATAAAGAACAGTTAAATTGTTAAAGAACTGAATTTTGTAGAGAGATCTCAGTTTAAATCCCATTTTAATTATTAATTACCTATACCAGTAGGTAAGTCATACTCTGGCTGAGCTCCTTCATCTGTAAAATTAGTGTTCTGAGTGGGAAAAAGACAGATTACTTAGAATGAGTTTGAAGATGACTACCTAATTATATGTGAGAAAATAAACATGGATACCAGACTCTTCAAACCAAAATAAATCCTTGTGCTCAAAGATTTAAATCTAAATACAAAAACCATACAGTAAGTAAAATTATTTTACTTTGGTTATTATATATGTATATTTTAGAGTTGAGATCCTTTATAACCACAAGAGAGGACCCAAAAGCTACCTAGAAAAAATGTATTTGACAAATGTGACTATATGACTTGTAAAAAACTGTTTAACATAATGTATACAATTTTAAAGGACAAACAACAAATTGGATAAAATATACAGATAATAAAATAAGCAATAAGGAGCTAATGTCTTCAATACATCAAACACTCAAAATCAATGAGACAAAATTTCAAACTCAATAAATGAGCACAATATTTATAACAGATACAATATTAATAACATACAGCAAGAAGTAAAAGAAATATATTAAAATACATTTAAGTATATTTTAAAAATGAATAAGATGTTTAAAAGATGCTTCTCTATCTTTAAAATATAAATCATTTGGCAAAAGTTTTGCCCACTAAAAGCATCTGGAAATTGAAGATAAAATTATTTGAGAATCATAACTTAATTCATAAAAAGAATAAGAGGTGGAGGAGGAAATAGGAAAGAGAAAGGAAACACAACATTAGAATGGTAAGAATGTCAGCAGGTAACTCTCCTTACCAGGGAAGAATATATTGCTCTAGGGAAACGAAAGGATTAGTTTTGACTTTATACAGGTAGATGAATAGGACATAAGTGTGTAAAGGATGAGAAGTAGAATGTGAGAAGCCTTGAAGAACTTGCAGGTAAGTAGATGGCTTGATGAGAAAAAGCAAAAGCAGCAATAACGATACCCACAGCAGAGGGAAATAACAAAGAACCTTGTATCTTTTTGCAGACAATTTGACGATTTTTGACATGTAGCTCTGCCAGTGACACCCACAGGTGGGATAAACCTTTGCAATAATTTTCAAGGTCTAGAAATCTTCAAGTTAAGAAATCAATATAAAATTTTGTTCTAACAGGTGTGTTAGTTAATTCTTGAGTCATCTTGGCTAAGTCGTGAAACCAAGATATTTGGTCAAACTTCACAATGTGTCTGTAAAGGTATTTTTTTGAATGGGATTAATGTGTAAGATAGCAGACATTGAGTAAAGCCATTGCCCTTTATAATATAGATAGGTCTCATCTAATTAACTGAAGGCCTTGAAAAAAGGACCAATCTGCCTCAAAAAGGAGATAATTCTGCCTAGAGACTGCTTTGGACTTTGCAACTCCTCCCTGGCCTGGGCTGCAGCCTGCTAGCCAACCCCCACAATCATATTAGTCCATTCCTTAAATTTCTCTATATACATGTCTCATTGGTTCTGTTTCTCCGGAGAACTTGACTAATACAGCAGATGATACATTTGGAAGCACGGGGAAAAACATGCAAAACCACTCTGAAGTGATTATCCAAGAAATGGACACTCAGAAAAAAAAAAATAAATAAATAAAACAATGACAAAAAAGTACTCCAAAAAACTCTGCTCACATTGCCAAAAAAAAAAAAAAACCCAAAAAGTCAACAAACATGCTAATAAGAAAAAAATGTGCTTTTAAATATAAATAACATCCTGATAAGTATAATGATAATATATTCTATGTAACATTATAGTAATCTGAAACAGAACATAAAATAAGTATATTTAATATTATTACTGTCATAAAAAGTACTTGAATGCTTAAGGGGAAGAAAAACTACCAGGAAGATTTGAAAAAGACCCAAATTGAACAATTACAAATAAAAATACATAGAGGATGATATTAAAAAAAAATTAAAAAACTTAGATGTATGTTTGCAGTATGTAAATAATAAACAGTTGAAAGAGAATTGGATAACTGGGTCATTGCACAAATTAGCTAGAATGCAACAGAGAGAGATGGAAAATACTGCAGAACAGTGAAAACACATTGAGGCTAAAATGAGATAATCCAACAAAACAATTTCTGAAGGAAAGTATGAAAAAGAGGCCAAATGCAAAAATAACACAAAGGCCCACACATTTCTTATTACATTATATTCTTTGTCACACCACAGTGAAACTACATAATAATAAAACATACAAAATGCTATTGAAGCCACTAGAGAAGAAGACCACTTATTTGATTTAAAAAAATCACACTTAGATTCAAACTTGAACCTCAATCACCACATTAAAAAATAAAGACAAAAAGAAATAATCTGCTAACTAAGTGAAAACAATATGTAAATCTAGAAGTCTATAATCTGGGAAACTCACTAAAAATCTGAGGTTGAAATGTAGTTTCAAATGGTAACTGTGCAATATTTACTGTTTCTGGGTCCTGGCCTGCTATTCAACAGGTACATAGTAGGAAAAAAATGTATAGTTGTTAGAATACTGAAAAATTCCGTATTAGTTGGAAATCTGCTGATGCGCCAATCTTGCAATGGTCTCTATGTGAATAACAGAATGAGACAGGAGAAAAAAGTTAATTTTATGAATTGTCAAGCATTTAGTTAAAAATGAATCTGTGACTGAATAAAGCAGGAATATTATAATAACAAATATTTCTATTCTAAAAAGAAGATGAAATTAAAACATGGGTCAAGAGTAACATGTAAGATCAAAGAAAAATTAACATCATTATAATATCCTTATACTTTTGAGTTAATTTGAGAGATTCTAAGCTTATTATTTGCTAAATCAAGTATTCCAGTTAAAAAGTCATAAAAATTGACCACCAAAACCCACATCTCAATAAATGGTAAAGAATCAGCAAATAGACCTCATTATCTGACTCCAGAAAGTTAAGAAATCAATAACAATAATACTGATAATGCCAAATCATTCTGTGAGAATTTGTCTTAATGTACGTTAAAAATGTTCAAAACCTGACCATGATGAAATCTCTACACATCAATGCTTGTAAAATGCAAATAAAGAATACATGGAAAGCTATGGTAGGAATGGTCCAGAAATAATATTGGCTTAAAACCAAATGGTTTATAAATACAAATAAAATAGGGCTTATGAAAAGCAAGTACAAATAACACTGGAAATACCAGAAGTTAATGATTTCCACAAAATACAATTATCCACAACTTACTTAAAAAGCTATAGAAAAATCTCAGCAGCCCTGTGCATTAAGAAACTCGTCATTGTTCACAATTCTTCATCCTTTCTTATATATCTTCTACAATAAATATTTCAAAAATATCTAAATGTAGCCATTTTACAAGGAAGTATCTTAAATTCTTTTAGAAAAATATATTTGTCTTATTTAAACTGCCTCAGACATTAGAAAAGTAAAGGAAATACATCCAACTAATTCTTGCTTTGGTATGAAAACTAGATAAGGACACTTTTTAAAAAAAATTTCAGGGGGAGGACTCAAGATGGCACTGTGAGAACAACCCAGGATTGGAGCTCGTGTTGAATCTGCAAACGGTGAGTCAGAGCTGCATTTACAGACTGATCTTTGTTGCCCACAGAACGGGGAAACTCCCAAGTATAAAAAGACACGGGATGCCAGGCAGTAGGTCTGCCTGGCGAAGCCGGCAGCCGGGGCAGCGGTGGCCGGCCCTACCCAGCAATCCCCAAAGGGTGCGCTTGTCTGGGTGCCCTGTTGAACCAGCAACCTGAGACTTGAGAGGGCTGGACTTGAGACTGAACAAGACTTGGACAGTAGGCCAGCCCAGGGGATTGCAGGGACAGATCGTTTGGGATACCCAGTGGGACGAACAAAACCGCGATTTCAAACTATCCCGAGCAGACGGTCTGAGACGCTCTGTGGGGGAGGGGCATCCACGACTACCTAGGCAACCCGCCCCAACTGAGATGCACGCCCACTGCTGACGCAGCCAGCCGTTGCTGAGGCAACCCGCCCCAACTGAGATATATGCCCACTGCTGACGCAGCCTGCCGTTGCTGAGGCAACCCGTCCCTACTGAGATACACGCCCACTGCTGACGCAGCCTGCCGTTGCTGAGGCAACATGCTACAACGAAGAGACTCTGCCGCAGGGCGTGGCGGAGACCACAGCAGAGCCTGCAGGAACAGGGCGAATCACACAACAGCAGGGCGGAGCCTCGGCAGCCAAACAGTGGCTAGTCTGCCTTCGAGCTGGGCAGGACACCTCATCGAACATCCAAAAATAAAGCCCAAACCCCTCAACACAGAGCATTTGAGAAAAAAAAAAAAAAGGGTTTTTTAATGAGCTCTGTTGCAGCAGAATCAAACATAGCAGCCTAACAGCCCTGAATGAACAACAGAGTGCACAGCTCAGCAATTAAGCCCGTATAAAGTACAAACTGTCTCCTCAAGCAGCTCTCTGACCCCTCTATATCCAAAAGACTGACATTAGGCAGGCATCATCCTGGGACAAAGATAGCAGAAAAAGAAACTGGTAGCATCCCTCGCTGTGCCACAGCTGCTAGAGGTGCAACCCAGACAAGCAGGGTCTGGAGCGGACCTCAGCAGTCGTACAGCAAAGGGGCTAGACTGGTAGAAGGAAAACCAAGCAACAGAAATACTTCATCATCAATATTCCGGGTGTCCACTCAGAGACCCAATCGAAAAGTCAGCAACTACGCAAACGACCAGCGGACAAATCCACAAAGATGGGAAGAAACCAGCGCAAAAAGGAGGAAAACACCCGAAACCAGAACACCTCGCCTCCTAGAAAGGACCAAAACTCCTCACCAGCAAGGGAACAAAGCTGGACGGAGAATGACTGTGACGAAATGACGGAATTAGACTTCAGAAGATGGATAATGAGAAACTTTTGTGAGCTAAAAGATCATGTATTAAATCAATGCAAAGAAACTAAGAACCTTGAAAAACATTTGAAAAAAGATTCAAGGAAATGATAACAAGAATGGATGACTTAGAGAGGAATATGAATGAATTAAAGGAGCTGAAAAACAAAATACGAGAACTTCGCGAAGCAAACACAAGTTTCAATAGCCGAATTGACCAAGCAGAAGAAAGAATATCTGAAGTCGAAGAGCAACTCAATGAAATAAAACGAGAAACCAAGATCAGAGAAAAAAGCGCAAAAAGGAATGAACAAAGTCTCCAAGAAACGTGGGACTATGTGAAAAGACCTAACCTACGTTTGATAGGTGTACCAGAAGGGGGCGAAGAGAATGAATCCAAGCTGGAAAATACTCTTCAGGACATCATCCAGGAAAATTTCCCCCACCTAGCAAGACAGGCCAACACTCAATTGCAGGAAATACAGAGAACACCACAAAGATATTCCACAAGAAGAGCAACCCCAAGGCACATAATCGTCAGATTCAACAGGGTTGAAATAAAGGAGAGAATACTAAGGGCAGCCAGAGAGAAAGGTCGGGTCACCCACAAAGGGAAGCCCATCAGACTCACAGAAGATCTCTTGGCAGGAACACTACAAGCCAGAAGAGAGTGGGGGCCAATATTCAACATTCTTAAAGAAAAGAACTTTCAACCCAGAATTTCATATCCAGCCAAACTGAGCTTCAGAAGTGAAGGAAAAATAAAATCCTTTGCGAACAAGCAAGTACTCAGAGATTTTGTCACCACCAGGTCTGCTTTACAAGAGCTCCTAAAAGAGGCACTAACATAGAAAGGATCAACCAGTACCAGCCATTCCAAAATCACACTGAATGCTAAAGAGCTTCAACATAATGAAGAATCTACAACAACTAACGGGCAAAACAGCCACTTAGCATCAAAATGGCAGTATCAAATTCACACATAACAATATTAACCCTAAATGTAAATGGACTAAATGCACCAATCAAAAGACACAGACTGGCAAATTGGATAAAAATCCAAAACCCATCAGTGTGCTGTATCCAGGAAACCCATCTCACATGCAAGGATACACAAAGGCTCAAAATAAAGGGATGGAGGAAGATTGACCAAGCTAATGGAAAGCAAAAAAAAGCAGGAGTT